GTTCCCTTCGCCGCTTCTCATCACCGCACGACCCTCCCGTCTGTCCCACGCCCGCCCCTCTCCCCCGGTTGCTCAGCCCCGGGCCCGGGGTCTCTTACAGATGCTGCGCCGCCTTTTGCCTTTCGTGCCAAGGATACTGTTGTTGCTTACTGTGTGGGCACAAGATACTCCCCAGGCTTTACCCTTTCAAAGGGCGTTGGGAATGGCAGGGGGACACCGGTGCTTTAGCAGATGCGAGCCCAGACACCTGCCCAGTGAGCAGGAGGCAGCCCACGACCCTTGCCACCTTGTATTTTCTGTCCTGCCCCATGTCTGTCAGTTCCTGAAATTGCACCTTCTAGGAAACAGCTGTAGGCCTACTGTACGCCCGGCACTACGGTTAGGTGTCGAAGGTACTGGGGCGGACACGAGAGTCAGGCTTCCAGCTCTCGCGGAACTCAATTTCTGGTAGGGCAGAGACAGAAACACACGTAAGAAGTGGTTATTTTAAAATAAAGGTGTTGGGGGCCCATGACTTAAATGGGGATCGATGTGATGGGAGAGAGTATGGTATTTCAGGATGGTTACAGAAATTTGTTTTTCTTTGCGCTGGGATCATAAAAGACCTGCCCAGTGATGATCCAAGCGGAGATTATTCCAGACGGAGAGACCAATAAACGCAAAGGGCATAAACGGGAGGAGACAGGGAAGAGAATGAATGATGTCTTTAAGGCCCTGCAAGAAGGTTTGTGTGGCTGGAGAGAGGCAGGCAGAGGCTAGATATAGGACTCTGGGGGCGTTTATAGTTTGGATTTTTTTTTTTTTTTTTACAGTTCGGATTTTTGTTGCAGGGTGACTGGACAGCTTTGGAGAGTTTCAGCTGGAGAGCAACATGGTTTTATTTTATCTGTAAAGATTGCTAGTGTGAAGAAGAGTTGATTAGGAGGAAGACACGAATTAAAGCAGGGACACCAGTTAAAAGGCACCTAAAGTCATTCAGGAGCTTGTTAAACTTCGGCTAGGGTTAGAGTTGTGCAGAGGAAGTGATTCTGATGTCTAGGAGGGCGAGCAAACACTTGCTGACTGATGAGAGAGCTCATGAATCAAGAGAGGGCTCAGGAATGACTCATCAGTTATTTTTACCTGAGCAACCAGATGCTTGGTAATACCATTACTGAGTTGTAATAGGGGCGAGAGACTTAGGTTGAATGGATGGACCAAAAAATGAAGGTTCTTATATTGATCCCTCCATCTGTTATTTTGCTACCTACTGGAAGGTTCCTTATCTTCCATGGCTCATGGGCCAAATAACCATTAACCCTGACGTTGGATCCAGTTCTTTCTCCTTGAGGGTCCTCCATTCAGTAAGCAGGAGATGAGATACTTGTGTCTGCCCTTAAATGCCACCTAGGTCATCACAAGAGTGCCATCTGTCTCTATTTTTGGAATGCCTACATGCCCATACGACTCAGCAAGTTTCAAATTCCACCAAATTCAACAGCCTTGCAGAAAATGTGCAGAGAGCTATCAGTATTACCACACAGATTGGGCAAAGAATGATTTGATTGCTAGTCTATAAACACTCCAGTCCAAACTTTGTTCTCTTGGGACAAAAGTTCGTGTCTTTGTTTTCTATTCGTTGTGATGCAGTTTATCCTGTGCCACAGAAATTGGCATGAGAGAGTTCAAATATCCCAGGGACCCAGATAAAAACGTTTATTGCCTTGCCGCAGGATGTCTTCACGTTCCTTTTTTTCTTTTTTAAAGTCCTGGAGAGTTTTGACAGAGTTAGCATCTTGGCTTCTTATCTGAGTTTTCTATTTCCCAGTAATAGAAGGAACCCTACCTAAGCAGGGTTTGTCCCAAATCATATCCACCGATGTTCTCACTACTGGCCACTTGATATGATCCCTAAAGTGAAATGTTCGAACAATCTGTATGTTCTAGCTCCTCGTCAGTGAGATGATGATGACTTGATTTTTTTTGTTTAAAGACATGCAGGTCTAAGTTCCTCTACCCGAGGGGTCAGTCCCCAGACCTTCCTGCCTCTGTCCCTCCACAATAGGTTCTGGATCTAAGATGGTTATGGGTTGTTGAGTCACTTCCAACTTCTGGGGGCCCTGCGTGCCACCGAGGAGAACTTCTCCAGAGGAGTCTCTTGGCAGCAGTCTGAACAGCGGTGGATCAGGTCTTGTCGACCAGGGTACTGCTTAGGTGAATAGTCAAGTGCAAACCATTTGTACCACCTAGGGATCTTGACTCGTAAAAGCACAAAAATAAATAGGAAGCTGTAAACAATTGCATACCTTAAATTCACGACTTCACATTACTGCAGCCAAATAATGCTTTAATGACATCACATTACTACAGACAATGGTCAAATTCCTTCTTACTACAGGAGTGGAGTATGGACGGTGTGGTAAGCAAGGGTCAGACACTCTGTACACAGACTTCCCATGAGTCTCATTCTTGCCCTCCAATATACCATAATCCCAAATCTCAATCTCAGATCTCTAGGACAAATCCGTTCCATTCTCTGTACCTCAGTCAAGATTTTTATTAGACACAAACTCTAGGAATTCGGGAGAGCAAGTGTGGGGAGTAAAAAGAATACTATATTCTAGTCCCACCCCTGCTACAGGTTTAAGACAAGACCTTGGGAAAGTCATGCTACCTCTCTGGACTCCCTCGCCACCCTCACCCCCCTTGTGGCCTTGGTGATAGAAGCATCCCGTCCTTTCATCAACCCCTAAACAAAGCAGCTGGGACTTTTGTATTGAGATAGGATGAGTCACGATGCTCCTTATGGCAGAAAGCCCTTGGGGGCCCAGAAGAACAGAGAAGGACCCCAAGAGGGAAGCATGCGGGCAGCCCGAAGTCATAGATAACCATTCTGTGACTGCTGAAGGGTGGTAAGCCTGGTGTGCTTTATCATTATGAATGGTCATGCTTGGCCCAGAAGTGGATGAATACAGATGGAATATTGGGAACAGCCTCAGCAGGGCCCCTGTGTGATCACTCCTTGCCTCAGCCTGGCAGGATAAAGAACACTGCTTCTCAGATCATTGGAGCTGCAGACTGAGGGTGAGGGGACTCTGGGATGGATAGAACATGTGAGAATATCTGGACACGGCGGTGGGAGCCATAGCCAATCAGGCTGAAAAGAGTGGTGTGTATATAGATGTATACACATGTGTACCTGGGGCTTCTGGGTTGAAAAAAGAGGATGTCCAGAGGCTAATAGCTTGTGACCAGCACTGAACTCTGTTTGTTTCACAGGCTGGGTTCTCTTGGGGCAGACAAAATCCAGAGATGAGTGTGCTTGGAAGTTGGCTAAATGTGCTTTTAGGAAGGGGAAAGGTAAGGGAACGAAGGCGGACTGGGCAGAGAGGTTGGGGTGTAGTGGTAGGAAATTTTGTTGGACCCCTCAGGGCGCTGTGAACCTGGGATGGCCCTGCCAAGTTACCCTGAATTGGGGTCAAAGGGCCAAGCCTTCCTATCCCTACGTGGACCTATCATTGAATGATGACTGGCTCAGGAATGGGGTGTGATCATGGGGGAGGATCCTTGTTAAGCCAAGGGCTCTTTCCACTGGGGACTGAGGGCTGAAAGCTAGTTGGGGAATATGTCCTTCAGGACATAGGCAATGCAGCATTTGCTACAGTCCACTCATGGTGCTGGGGTTCTCTCTCAAAGTGTCACGTCAGTTCTGAGAGCAGCACCTTCAGGACCCTGGTGGGTGTCTTTCCCTGGGGAAAGCTTGCCTGAGGAAGGTTAGTGAGACTAACTACAGCTCCCACCACCATGTATCCAGGCCTTCTCACCTACTCGTCATCGCCTACTTCTCCCCCATAGACAGCACCTCTAATGATCTGGGTGGCTTACAGTGGAGAACCCCAGCTGTAAGGAGTCAGCCCTGGCTACCACAGTGATTCTTGGGCAGTGGCTGCAGGACTTAGTCATTTCCTGTCAAAATAGGGCCAGGTATACCAAGAGACACCCCCCCCACCCACTACCCCAAGTGGGTCATGTGGGTGGGTGCCAAACATTCCCCCGATCCCGCGTCAGCAGCAGCTCCTGATGACTAGCCTCTTTGCCTGTTGCCCTTAGAATAAAGTAGCTCTGGTGATACGTAGTGGGTTAGGCCTTGGCTACTAACCACAGAGCCAGCAGCTCCAGCCCACAAGCTGCTCACGGGGAGAAGGCTGAAACCCTGCTCCTGTAAAGGAACCCTATAGAGTCACCGTGAGTCACAATCAGCTTGATGACAGTGGGTTTTGGTCCTTGGAAGAAGGAATGTCTGGAAAATAATGCCCACTGATCAATTTCCTTCCCCTGGTAATGATGTTGTTTTTAAAAAACAGCTTTATTGACACATAATTCACATAGCACACAATTCAGTAGTTCAATGATATTTGAAAAAAGCTGTACAAACATTACCACAATCAACCTTAGAATATTTTCTTCTTTCTGGTACTAGTTTTCAGTTCATTTCCTCCCAACCTCCCATGCCGTTTTAATACCAGTAAAAATGCTAACGATTGTGTGTGTCCTGTGTTAGAGACTGCCTATGTCCTTCCTCTACCAGCAATGAGGTCCTCACGAACTGGGCTGTGGGTGATCCAGCTCTAAAGTCTCATCTTGGCAATCACTTTCTTAGTCCATCCCTGGCATTAGCTGTGGCAGGTAAGCTTCTTAGGAAAGAGACTCTAAGATGCAGGGAATTTATTGGGCAGTATGTTAGTCTGGGTGGACTAGGAAACAAATTCATAGATACTCATGTAAGAAAGAGCTTTATCTACAAGAGCAACTGAATATTGAGAAAACATCCCAGCCCAGTCCAATCAAGTCCATAAATCCAATACCAATCTATAAAGTCCTCTTCAGACTCACGCAACACATGCAGTGACGTGAAATGCAGGAAGATCACAGGCCAGTGGGTGGAAAGTCTTGTGGATCCATAGGCGGTGTAAGCATCTCAGTGCTGGCAGGGGTCTCCATGTGGCTTCCCTGGCTCCCGAGCGCTGGCTGCCATTAAGTTTATCTCCATCAGGCTCATACTAATGTCTTGCAGAGAGTGAGCGTGTGTCATACCTCCAGTGAGCTATTTATCTCCTTAGTGCCTCCAAATGAGGTCATCAAGCTGCGACCTGATTGACAGGCTAGACTGTACCCTTCCACTCTTAAGTCTCAGGTTGACAACAGATTATGTAACGACCACAGGCAGTGCTTTGGGGATTCACAAAAGAACCCTGGTGGCACTGTGGGCTAGGCATTGCAGTCAGCAAATCAAATCCACGAACTACTTTGCAGGAGAAGGATAAGCCTGCCTGCTCACATACAGATTTTAAAAATTTTATTGTGGCAAAATATACTCACCGTAACATTGACCACTTTCACCGTTTTTAAGTGTACAATTCAGTGACAATAATGGGGTCAGTGTGCCTTACCTAAGGTGTGATGTTTTCAGTCACCTCCTATGCATGTGAAAGTTGGGCATTGAATAAGGAAAACTGAAGAGTCAATGCATTTGAATTATGGTGCTGGCAAAGAATATTGAAAGTGCCATACACTGCCAAAAGAACACATTAATCTATCTTGGGAGAAGTACAGCCAGAATGCTCCTCAGGATGGTGAGACTCCCTGGCATGTATTTTGGACGTGTTATCTGGAGATAACCAGTCCTTGGAGATGGACATCATAGTGGGTAAAGTAAGGGGCAACAAAAAAGAGGGTCAGATCGGGCACAATTCCCACACTGGGTCTCCAGTGTTGTCCCCAAAGCGCTATGGGTCAGTGAGTGACGTCGTGTCCTGTAGTGGGACTAGCCCTATGGTCCTCTCCAAACAGGTTTTTTCAAATTGGATTTCAGTTCGACTATCAAGCAAAGGTATGAACAAGATTCCCCCCACCCCCAACTTTGCCATTTAAGTAGTGCAGAGTTGGAGCTTGGAGGTATCATTTATTGTCCTGATCCAGATCTTTCATACAGAAGGAATCATAGTACAGAGTTATGGATCACTTTTATATGGTCTGGTAATGCCTACCAATGAATGGGTGGTGCTAGGCAAGGGCGGTGCTTATGGTTCAACAAGGAGATTGGATAGCTCACTAATAATGCAGATAAGGTACACGTTGGCCTTGTGTGTGTAGAACCATGTATATAAGGTGAATGAAACCTTAACCAGGGGACAAATCAGTTTTGCCATCCTGCTAGGTTTAAAATGAGTCATCCTCAGGTGAACAGGGATACCTCACTACCACTAAGAAAGAAGAGCTAGAAGTGGAGTGTCCCTTTGGACCTGAATTCTTTACTGAGAACCTTCTAGATCCAGGAAGCTCTTAGCCCCAGGAAAACCTCCTAGACCTAGAAGTGAGAGAGAGAGTGAGCTGTAACACTGAACGAACCAGCAGCAGGGAGACAACAACAGCAGACCCAGGAGACTGGCAGGAGATGGCACAGTGGACTTCCCTCCTCACAGAGTGAAGAACTGAGCACCTCGGGCAGAGTAAGGTGTCTGCGAATTTGGCAAAGCTAGGCTGGTTGACCCTGTACCCACAGAGATTTACAGTCTCAGGGACCCTATACAGGATTGCCACGAATCAGAATTTTTGAGATTCCCCCTCTCTGGAGGAAGGAAGGAAGCCGGGTTGGGCAGGACAGTCACAGCAGGCTTCAGAGGGCCCCGAGGGGACTCTAAGCTAGGAGACTTCTCCAGTGTTGAGTTTGGGTCAGGAGGCCAGGCTCTTTACCGTACACTGAATGGTCATTGGATACTGGCTACCCCCGGAAGATGTGATCTTGGGCAGGGGTCTTTCGACTGCCAGCAGCAGCAGCAGGGGTCATCAGTTCCTTAGTCCTGATGGGATACTTAGACATCACAACATCCATGACAGTTTGTCCTGCAATTCCACAGATCAGTGTGAGTTTTGGTGTCCGTTCTATAGAGAAGCTTCAGCCTCATGTGGAGGGAAGGTGAGGGGATTTTGTAGCCTGAGCTATGCAAGCTCCCTTCACACGTGCCACCCAGGTGACTCCAACTCAGTGGCCCCATATAGAGTTTCAGAGGCTATACATCGTTATGGGAGCAGAAAGCCTCATTTTTCTTCCTGTGGAGCAGCTGGTGGGTGTGAACAGGCGACCTTGTGGTTAGCTGCACAATGCTTAATCCATTATACCAACAGGGCTCCTTTGGGCTTATACTTAAAACCAAACTCACTGCCATCAAATTGATTTTTGACTCATAATGACACTATAGGGCAGATTAGAACTTCCCCTTTTGAGTTTCAGGGATTGTACACCTTTACAAAAACAGAACCCTTCCTGCTTCTCCCACAGAACAGCAGATGGATTCAAACTACTGACCCTGTGGTAAGCAGGTCAGTTTGGAGCCCACTATACCACCAGGGGGGTGCCTTTCGGGCTTCTTATAGAGGTCAGTGCATAAAGAGGACGATACGGCGGAGATGGAACAACCAGGAACAAAGAGGGAGGTTGACATATGGTGAAAAACGTGGCTTAGAACAATCTGCCTAAGAAATTGTCTAATGGGAACCATATTTGCTGTGCGATAATTTTCAATGAAAACAATACTCTTTTTTTTTTTTTTTTTTAAAGAATGAAGAACCCACGATGCGCCAGACACGCTAAGTCCCTGCAGAAATTTCATTCACTTCCCCTGAGGGCTTCACACACCCAGCAGCACAATTCTGCAGTGTTTCACAGGGCCGGCCCCCACCCGGCACACCTGCCCAATTTGTGGGTGGTGTCGCAGCAGCGTCCCTTGGCGTCCTGCCGGGGAGGCTGCGCACAAAGTCTGCGGAGGCACGCGGGTTCGAAACTGTTGGGAGTTGGACGTGCACCCTGGGGAGTCCCAGCGTCCACCCTGGGGAAGGCCGTTCGGAGGCACTCGTCCTCCCCGGGCCATGGTGCAAGTGACTGACAAAAGCAAGAAAGGTAACTGAGGAGCAGGGTGGGAGATAGATAGCTTCTCGCTATCCCTTGTGTATAGACGTATAATTGACATAGAGTGAGGTCGCACCTGCCTCCTTTCAGTGGACGCCTCTGAGCGGTGACCAACTTCGTAGACGGCCACTTTAACCAAACCACAAGCACCATGAAGCTAGCGGACCGTTCTGCCCTTCCCTCACCTCCCTAGGGCTCCCCCTTTGCAACTAGCCATTTCCCCACCCTGGCCTCTGAAGCTTCGCCTTTCTGTAAGAGGGTAAGGGGTGCCTCTAGCATTGTACCTTTTTTCAGCTGGTGAACTCTTAGACAAGGAATTGAGTGTCGGGGGAGTTGCCATTCATCAGAGCAGCCGCGACATCAGGCAGCAACTCTCCCAGAGCATGTGTGGTTTCAGGCAAGTGGAAGGTGTTTGGAACTAGACTTTGGTACAGCTCTTTTGAGTAAAGGCCATGTTGCTTTCCTGCCTCAGAGGTAGGGCTAGGGAAAACCTATGTTGAGAACCAGTCTCCTCAAACTTCTTCTTGGGAAAATAACTGCTGTTGATGTTGTTTTAAAACATTCCTCTGTCCTTGAACTTTTTCTCGAGATTTACCTCTGTAGAAAACATTATTTCCCACCCACTGGCCACAAAGCCATTTCCACTATCACCACCATTTCTACCATCTCTGCCATGACTACAGTATCCATTTCATTCTCAATGTCTCTTTCACACCTCACACAGCAGCCAGAAGGTTTGGGTTCTGTTTTTTCCCCAATCATTTTATTAGGGGCTCATTCAACTCTTATTACAGTCCATACATAAATCAATTGTGTAATGCACATTTGTACATTCATTGCCCTCATCATTCTCAAAACATTTGCTCTCCATGTAAACCCCTGGCATCAGCTCATTTTCCCCCTCCCTCTCCGCTCCCCACTCCCTCATCAACCCTAGATAATTTATAAATTATTATTCTGTCATATCCTGCACTGTCAGATGTCTCCCTTCACCCACTTTTCTGTTGTCCGTTCCCCAGGGAGGAGGCTATATGTAGATCCTTGTAATCAGTTCCCCCTTTCCACCCCACCCTCCATCTACCCTCCCAGTATGGCCACTCTCACCACTGGTCCTGAAGAGATCATCTGTCCTGGATTCCCTGTGTTTCCAGTTCCTATCTGTACCAGTGTACATCCTCTGGTCTAGCCAGATTTGTAAGGCAGAATTGGGATTATGATAGTGGGGGGCGGGGAGGGGAGAGGGGAGGAAGCATATAGGAACTAGAGGAAAGTTGTATGTTTCATTGCTATACTGCACCCTGACTGGCTTATCTCCTCCTGGAGACCCTTCTGTAAGGGGATGTCCAGTTGCCTACAGATGGGCTTTGGGTCCCCAGTCCACACTCCCCCTCCTTCACAATGATATGATTTTTTGTTCTGATAATGCCTGATCCCTGATCCCTTCGACACCTTGTGATCACACAGGCTGGTGTGCTTCTTCCATGTGGGCTTTGTTGCTTCTGAGCTAGATAGCCGCTTGTTTACCTTCAAGCCTTGAAGACCCCAGACGCTATAACTTTTGATACACAATCTGATCACATGTGTCCTGACTAAATCCTTTATCAGCTTTTGCATTCAGGTTAACTTCCTACCTCCTCAAGGTAGGCCCCAAAGCCAGCCCCTTTGCTCCTGCTTCATCCCACACTGGTCATCTTCATGTTTCTCTGACAGACTTTGTTCTTTCTAGTGTCAGGCCCTTGATACACATCATCCCATCCCATCCCACCCAATTCCATCACTCCTGGCCTAAATATTTCTTACTGGTCCTTTAGACTGCAATTCAAGTTATCACCTCCTCAAAGATGTCTGCCCTACCTTCTCCATACAAGACTTTCTGTTGTGCACTCAGAACACACGTCATGACCTGTTACTCAACATATAAGGGGCTTCAAAAAGTTTATGGAACTATTCCATCTTTTAATTACATTTTACGGTGCGCTTTTGATATCTGTAGGACTGATTGATTGATATAATCTGACGCTTCCATTAGACTAAATTCTGTGAAGGCAAGAACCCTTCGTTCTACTGGGCATGCCGACTGCATCGATAGGTACTTCCTGAGTGAGTAGGTAATAAGTAACACTGATTGAGCACCTACAATGTACCAGGCATGGTACAAAAGTCCTTTAGCTGTCTCACTGATATTGTGTCACCACCCTCTGTGATAGATCTCTATTTTACAGATGAGAAAACTGAGGAACAGAGAGATTCAGTAATTGCCGTAAGGGTCTTGTTCAGAACTCAAGTGCACTAGTGCCATACTGTCTAGATGCAGGACTGAAACACATTTTCTTTCTATAAGGCAGCTTCGAGGGCAAGGCACCTGTACACAACTTGAGCAAAACAAAGAAGACCAAACTCATTGTTGGCAAGTTGGGATTAGGCCTCATCCTCATCCAGCATGGACCCTACCTCCAAATCATCCATCTCATCAAGAAAGGAGCTGCAGCCAAGGATAAAAAACTCCAGCCAGGTGACTGTGGTTTTCCCTGCCCCTATCTCATCACTGTTTGGAATGCTTGGCCATTGGGTTTCGGTGTAATCTAATGAGACCATTGAACAAGAGCTTTCTATGGGCCACTCAGTTGATATTACTGATAAATATCCCACTTCTGTATGGAATACTCCAATTAGTTCTCCAGTAGAAGTTGTTATTCGCTCTTTATAAATGAGGGCACTAAAGTGTCAGTGAGATAAAGCTTCTTGCCAGTGTTGCTTCAGAGCTTATGGCTCTCTATGAATAAGGGTTCCTTCTTTTGTAGGCATAATTAGTTATTAACATTTAGGTGCAGGAAGCATCAAAAGAAGATGGAAGTACTACACAGGATCACTCTAACAAAAAATAACTATTTTACCTGACCAACCAACTGGTGACTCAACAGAATGTGGAAATTATCAAACAAAACCCAGTAACATCACTTGCAAGTTAAATTTTGCTGAAGATCATTAAAAAATGGTTGCAGTAGTACACCAACAGGGAGGAATCTGACATTCAATCTGTATTCAGGAGAGGACATAGGACTAGGGATATTAGTGTTGATATCAGATTCCTTGGAGAATCAGAAAGATCTTTACTTGAGTTTTATTGACTATGCAAAGGCATTCAGCTGCACGGAGTGTAACACATTGTGGATAGGATTGAGAAGAACAGGGACTCCAGAGCACTTAATTATGCTCCTGAGAAACCTGGACATAAATCAAGAAACAGTGTTTCAGCAGAAGAAGGGAATACTGAGTGGTCTAAAATCAAACAAGGTTGTATCCTTTCACTATACTTAATCAAACTGTAGGGTGAGCAAGTAATCCAAGAAATTGGTGTATATGAAAAATGTGGCCTATGCCAAGGAATTCAGAAATTAGTCAAGAGATCCATATTTGTGCCCCTTCCAAAGAAAGGGGACCCAATAGATTGCAGAAATTATAGAGCAGGATCATTAACACACCATTTAAATCTTGATGATGATAATTAAAAATTGATTACAAAAGTATACTACTAAATTCAGAAGAGAACATGAAACAAAGGGTATATAGCATTGTTTTTTTGTTCTGTGATATCTATCGTTGTTGATGTCAAAGAATACTAGAAAGGTGTTTACCTGTCTTTATTGATTATGTAAAGGCATTAGACTGTGGATTATACCCAATTATGAAATAAAAACAACATTGGGAAGAATGGAATATTTAATTGTGCTTATGGGGAACTGTACCTAGACCAAGAAGCAGTCATTTGAACAGAACAAAGGATACTGAACGGTTTGCATGAGGAAAGATGTGTGTCAGGGTTGTATCCTTTCACCATACTTTTCTAATCTGCATGCTGAGCACATAAGTCAAGAAGGTGGACCAAGGACATTGGGACCAGAAGACTCATCAGCTACCAGAAATACAGGTGATGTAGTCTTCCTTACTGAACAGGAAGACCCGAAGCACTTCCTGATGAAGATCAAAGATGATGGCCTTAAAAATGAACTGCGTCTCAACAGAAAGAAAACAAGCTCCTACAGCTGGACTAATACAAGTAACCTGGTGATAAGTGAAGAACAAAGTTGTCAAAGATTTCATCTACTCGGTTCTACATCCATAGAAACGTCAGTGAAGAAATGAAATGATATCTTGGGCAAATCTGTCGGTAAGACCTCTTGAGTGTTTAAAAAAAGGGAGGGTGGTGGGGAGTCACTTTGAGGACTAAGGTGCACCTGACCCACACCATCGTACTTTCATGTGAAAGCTGGGTAATGAATAAGGAAGACTGACGAAAAATGATGTCTTTTCATTATGATGTTGCCTGAGAACTGAACAATGGACAAGTCTGTCTTGGAAGAATTGCCTCGTAGAAGTAAGCCTGCAATTGAATGATGGATTGTTAAGAGTTGTAAGAGCCTCCCCAACAAAATGATTAATAGAAGAAGAAGCAAGCACGGCAAGACTTGGGACCTGTTCTTGAGGGATTAGTCCCTGGAGAAGGACATGATGGTTGGTGAAGGGTCAGCAAAAAAACCCAAGTCGATCCTCTCACGAGTGACATTGACATAGTGGCTGTAATAATGAGTTCCAACATAGCAAGGGTTTTGAAGACGGAGCAGGACCAGTCAGGGTTTTGTTCAGTTGTGCACAGGCTCTCTATGAATCAGAACGGACGCTCTGATATCTATCTACAATAGACATGGAATCAGATATTTAGAGACTGGCCACGGTCACTAAGCTCTCTGCTTCATGCTGCAGAACAAGAGTGCTTTGACAGTCCTGCCCAACTTCTTTTTCCTTGATAAGTGTTAACTGGGCTGTATTCTGGCAAACTCGTCTTTTCTGGTTCTGTAACCTTAGACAGTGTCACTTAGCCTTCTAGACCTCCACGACCTTGCTTTTAAATCAGGGTAATATGCCTCTGCAACATTCCCTATTGGTACAGTTATTAAGCAATTGGCCGCTAACTTAAAGGTTAGTGGTTTGAATCCATTCAGTAGCTCTAAGGGAGAAAGGCCTGGTGGACTAAGATAACAACCTGGAAAACCCAATGGGGCAACTCTAATTTGTTCCACGAGTCAATGCAAGTCAATAAATTTAGCAACCTTTGTCAGATGTTGCTAGGATTTGAAAAAAACATTTCATTTTAGGTGAAAGTTTATAGGGCAAAATAGTTTTACATTCACCCACGTACATATATTTTTTTTTTTGTGACATTAGTTGTTAACCCTCACTGTCATAGAACTCTTCCCACTGCTGTTGAATTCCTGTCGCCATTTGTCCTTTTCAGCTTCTTCCTGTTTGGGGGCAGATGCTGCCCTTTTGGTCTGACACTGTTGATTATCTCCAATGGACCTTCCCTACCCGTGTTGCTCACGGTATACCCTCTGTTATCTGGCTGAAAGGAGATCTCCAGGAGTGAGATCATGTCCAGGTCTGAAGGGTGTCGACAGGCCATAGTCTCATGGATTCTACCAGTCTCTAACAGACTAGTACATCTAGTCTCAGGCTAGTAAGGGCTGCGACTCTTGTGGTTCAATCCTTTGGATTATTTCCTCCAGTTTTCGATTTTCTTGACTCTCCTTTAAACTGGATAGGAAGAAATCAATAGTTGTATCTTACATGACCACTCACAAGCTTTAAAGGCCCCAATGGCTACTCAGCAGAGTAGA